GCAACAGTGTATTAATTGATAGAATTGGCCCTTTATGAAGATCAGTGGACAACAACTACATTTTCATTGTCTTCCTTGTGCTAGGCTACAATGCTGTGATGCGATGTCACAACATCAGGATGCTGTGCAGCATTTATAGGCCATATTGGTAATCTGCAACCTTGTGTTGCAGCAATATTACAGTATATGGTGGATTAATTTTTGATCCTTAACATTTTATCTTAAGATTACTGTCTTGATTAGAAATAGAATTCTCTTTGCTTTTCATCTTAGAGAATGACGAAATGCAAGGAGATTTGCTGAAACTTTGTACATGTTGTCACTCTACAACTCCCTTCCCCTCTCTGCCCAAGGCTTTTCTGTAGCACATTCTTTCTAGCATCTAAATCTCCTAACATCTGTGAGACTAAGGAAAACTAAGCACTGGTTGTGGTAATGCTCAGGAGTTCTTCCATAATGAAATCTCTTGAATGTGTTCTGTTTCTCTTCCGGCTCCACGGTGCTTCCAGTGTATGGTCTCTGTGACCTTGAGGCTTAGCTTTTTTAAGGGGCATAGGTTATACTTGGCATCCATCTTTAACCCCACAGAGATTTCCAGATATAAAATAATTCCATGCCACCTCATGCTGGCCATGTGGTTGGATGGAGAACAAGGAAATAACATAACACACACTGAATTTTGTAGGAATGCTTCACACTTCAGGGAATGCCTTTAGTACTGTAGAAGTCCCCAAATCATTTCAGTATGCTAGTGGATTAGGATGACCAGTCTGTGATGTTTCATATTGCTCACTGGCAATACAATTTAGCAGATTTGTGCAGGCCTGAGGAAGGGTCGATTCTTGCCAGAGAGGCATCAACATTCTGGCATGTGTGTGGGGAGAGGGGTGAGTGGGTTGGGAAGCCATAACACAGGAAAATGAATGCATGTGTGAAACATACACTATGATTCACCAGGCATGTATTTTCCACTTTTACTTTGTATTTCCTCTTCAGTGGCTGCTGTAGATTACACTTTATTTCATCTTTATATCTTGCATGCTTTTGCTTATTTTTTAAATGTGGGTTTGTGCAAAGTGAATGTAAAATTTATACCAAAAAGAGTTGTAACCCAGCATGTGTATGTATTATTTCCCCAGGTTTTATACTGGGTTCCTTCTCAGTGATTTACATGCTAGCAAATTTGCCTCTCCAGTCTCTATAATTTACACAATTGGCCCTTTGCACACTAGGCTTGTAGTAAGAAGGCAGTGGGTGTGTTTTCCCATCATTATTAACTAAGGTCCTAGCTAAAACCCCCTTACCATTCACACGGGAAACACTCTTACTAGCTTTGAGTCCTGGCTGCCTTGCCTGAGTGGGGCATAGAGCTTAAAATCTAAGCTTCACATTCACTCTGCCCAAAACGTTTCTACCTTTGCAAAGGGGGCAGAGGTGTGTATACAATAGCCCTTCAATGCCTTTATAGATTTGATAGGTTTCATAGATTTTCTGGGGTCAGAAAGGACCTCAGTAGATCAAGTCCAACCCCCTGCCCTGGGCAGGAAAGTGCTGGGGTCAGATAACCCCAGCCAGGTGCTTGTCCATTCTTCTCTTAAACACCCCAAGGTAGGGGAGAGCACCACCTCACTTGGAAGCCCATTCCAGACTCTGGTAGCCCTTAGCGTGAAGAACTTCTTCCTGATGTCCAGCCTAAATCTGCTCTCTGTCAGTTCCCATACTTCCTCTGAATGATAGCTTCCAAATTTTATTGAGTTGACTGGAAAATAATCCCAGAGCTTCTGCTAGATATATCCCGAGACACACAAGGGAAAGTGCAGAAACAGTGAGCACACAGTAACCCTGGGGTGGCCATGTTACGGGATCTGGGCTAGGCTTACCAAATCCTCTGAGTGCCAGTTACCTCTGCAGTAAAGTTAAATTCAGTGTGACCAACCCCCATGACTTGATCATTTGTTTCCTTGGGTTTGGTGTTTTTTAGAAAGCTGCAATTGTTAGAATTGCATGCTTGCATGAAAATCTTTTAAAAAATAAGTTTTTAATTTTTTTAAATTATATTTTAAGAAGGAAATTCTTACCATTATGATTACAGGAAAGCAGTTTAAAAGTGAATCTAAAATGATTAAGCAAATGAACTACAGATTAAAAACTTTTTAATCTTATGATTTTGAAACCTGACGCCAGGTTTTTGATCCCTTGGAATAGCTACACTGTCAGATGTTCTGAAAGGAAGTTTCTGAGTGTTTTTCACAATACAGTAGGAGTTTGAGACTAGGGATATAAGGTAATCAGCATACAATTTATAAAAGCAAATTTTAAAATTTTGTCATCATCTGACATCCGTGAAAATCTTTTCATTGATGTTAATGACAGCTCAATAAACTCAATAGATATTATATGGATTGCATTAAAAAGTCAGCAGTCACCACCATCCTATTTGTGTCCCTACTTAAGAAACAGTGTGGACCAAAAGGATTCTTTTTTTTTTTTTAACTTGTTGGGCAGAGTGATCAATCATCTACCTATATGACATTTTTCCTGTTGTGGCTGCAGTCTTTCTGCTGCTAGCTCTTTGTACAGTGACTTCCAAACCATAGAATAGAATGTGGGTGATTTTTTTTTTCCATAAGCAAGTCTAGACAGAAACTTCCCACCCAAGGCAGTTACAATAATTTTGAACCTAGAGTTCATTAATCAAAGTTGGATCTGATTTTTTCAGGTCTTCTCCAGGGACAAATTTCTGCCACTGACTTATATTGCTGTGTGAAACTAACACTTCAATCCTGCAGTCCCACCATAGAATCTAAATTTAGGTTCCAGCATTTCCCATCCTCTTTTTTGAGCCTACGGCCATTATACCCCTGGTCTCTCTCTCTCACCTTTGTACAGGTGAATTGGAGGTAGTTTTCCTTTTCCATTTAGCAATTCTCAGAAAAGTCCCAGAAGTTATTTCCCAATTCAGTCTGCCTTTCAAATCCTTCTAAGAATTTGGCCTTCTAAGTTTTTGCCTGTCTCCTACTCCAGTGGTTCTCAAGCCATGGTCTGCTGGGTCACAGTAAGTAGTTCACATCTAGTCTCCAAGGTTTCCAGATGATGGATAGTCTTGTCTGGTCTTGAATGATTTCCTCATATAGTGTCTCACAATCCTTTTCTAAGCATCATTTGCGGATTGGTCTTCCCGTGAACTGAGGGGTTGGCCTTTGGCCAAGTCATTGCTTAGTATTGCCAGGGGTTGTCCTTTACCTAACTTTTGACATGTCTGGTGATACCTTTTATTAGACCCATTTCATAGTTGGGAAAGATGTTAAACAAGTTTTGGGGCACAAAATACCCTTCCCCAGGTCTGGAAAAGAAGCAGATACAGCCTAAACTAAATATCATTTAGAACAGTTATTTTGTTTTGCCCCATTATGCATGTGAAAGTCATCACTTGAAAATGGGCAGTAATACTGTTATATGAGATAGTTGCAGATCAAATAAAGAACAGCTGAAATAGATAAATCTAATGATGCTTATTTTTAATAAGATCTTTCAAAAGAGAAGGTGCCTGCAGTCTTGACCTAAGCAGATGTCTTTCTTGGGAGGCTGTTACTACCAGCTGTTACTGCTTTGTAAAGGCCTCCCAAACCATTGGGCATCATTGGAGCTCACTGGATCCAGCTGTTGTATGAATTGGAATAGAAAGGAAAAAATTCCCTACCTATAAATTAGGTTTCCAAGCTAAACTATTCAACAATCTGGTACCTTCCTAAGGTACCTTTAGATCCGAATATGGTAGTCCCTGATGCCCAGGTCCATTATTATTGTTTACATTTTTAATATCTATGTTGAAAAGCTACAGAAGAATCTAATTTATCGAAGTGGGGGAAATACTGAGCTGGGAAGAAATTTCATGGATGTCAATGGAGCAAGTTGAAAGACTCAACGCAAAATGTCAAATACTCTGTTGGAGAAACCAGTTTCATAAGTAGGGAAAATTTTTCTTTCTGGAATTCTGTTTTGGTTTAGGGAAAATGCTGCGTGGTACCAGGTCTTGCATATTGTGATAGTTCTGTGGATTTTTTTCTAATGGTGACCAACATATTGCATGTATTTTCTTTGAAAAAGTCATGTGTGAGAGTGCTTTCTGACCTTTCTTTTCCCTTCTGTTGCTTTGTTACTTTAAAAAAAAAAAAGACTCTTAGAATTAGACAGATGTTGTCTCTCACTCTGTCTGTAATGCATGAGCTTTTTATCTGTGAAAGTGTGCCTGAATTCTTGGTAGGCTCTTTCATTTCTATTTTTGTTCTATATATATTGAGGCATTTTGAATTTACCTCTTATCGGGCTGTTACCATTGAGCTCTTTTTATTCTACCACCCCCTCAGGCAATAATCATACTATTATGATGTGGTTTACCAAGGAATAATCCGGCTTCTGACAGGAGAAACCATGAGGCTGAATGCCAAATGGTTTATCCTAACAGGGAAACTGGGTTACTGCCAAGTAAAACAGTGCAGTGGTACTTTTACTCCTAGCAAGCTACCAGCATTTAAGAAGTGTCAGTGCACAAAAGGGCAAGGGAGTGAATTAGCATTCAGCTAATGGAAACAACTGAAATTAAAGTAAGTCATTCATTTTGCAGATTCTCTCACAATAAGATTGTCTAGATTCAGTTGAAACAGTTCTTTTTAAAAAAAAGAATTCCTGAGTATAATAAATGGGCTTATACAATGCTGCAGGACACTGTGATGGTCTTTACTATTACCTTCAGAGCAGACAAATTATTAGGAAATAATCAGATTGAAAATGAATGTTGTGACTGGTCATGCTGGCTCTCGTACGGTGGTCTAACATGGATATGCTCAGCTCAGCAGCAACATTATGTGACTATACATAACAAAATTCATTAATACCTTAATGTACAAAGAGTAATGGAAAATGAGGCCTGGTGCAGTTAATAAATGCAAGGAGAATACAAGAGTTGAGCTGTAACATTGTTCCTTATCTTTCTGTCACAGCAGGATAAACCCAAATTTTTGGAGCCTTTGGATTATGAAGCTGTCATCACAGAGATTGAAAGGAACTTTGAGGATTATCCTCTAAAAGATCTCCTGTTTTTCCCCAATGATGACTTTTCAGTAAGTATGGTACAAATGTGATTTATGGTCATTTTTACAGTATTAATATTTAGTGGTAGTGGAACAGGCAGAGATAGAGGGGCTGTTTCATGTGTCTTAATGCCTCCTTCTATCTGCTTCCCATTCCCATACATATAAACACACATACACTTTTCAAGACAAGAACCAGTTTAAAATATCAGTCATCAGCCAGGGATTTCAAAATCTCACAACATACGTTGTCTTGTTTTACCTACTTGTTTGGTGCCAACAGCAAGGGTACCGCAGTTCTATTTGTTTCACTCAGCTCTAGCCCAACTCTTCATATACTGATTCATAATATATTTTGGAATCCTTCTAACTCTCTTTCAATTAATAAGTTTAGCTATTGAAATCAAACAGCCTACGATCACTGATGCTCGCTGTCTGGCATTTATTCAAACCCCTGTTACCACAATTCAGATTATGCAGATAAAAGTAAATCCACCTGGATTTTCACATTTAAAAAATAAGGAACAAATCTCAGAAAGTTTGAACTTCTCTATAGAAGAACATGCTGCTGGCTCTGGGGCATTCTGTATGGCCCCGAGGCCATGGACCCTAGAAGCACTGGGGTCCCTGACTCCCAGGCCATCTGCATGGTGGAATCGCTTTGAGTCATATGCCCTAGTGAGCCCAGGTTGTAAAAGAGCTACAAACTGAGGAGCGAGGGCTTTCAGGAGGTGGGTATGATTGCACCCTAACTGCTGATGAGAGCAAATCAGCACGGTGCAGGGTGACCAGTGGAGTCCCTCAGGGCTCGGTACGTGGGCGGGTACTCTTTAACAATCTGGATTCGGGAGTCAGATGCAACTGGCAAAGTACATAGATGATACCAAATTATGTGGGAGGACAGTCACACTGCAGGACAGGCTAGGGATACAGGCCAACTTGGACACGATCTCAGGGTGGGCCAACCAAAACCTGATGGCCTTCAGTGCAGAGAAGTGTAAGGTGCTGCACCTTGGTAGGAAAAACCTTCAAAATACTTACAGGCTTGGCAGTGCTATGCTCGGTAGCACCACGACTGAAAGGGACTTGATGATCTTGATTGACCACAAGATGAATATGAGCCACCAGTGCGATGCTGTGGCTGGCAAAGCAAACCAAACTCTGGCTTGCATCCACCAATGCATCTCAAGCAAAACCAGGGAAGTCATCCTCCTACTTTACTCGGCCCTGGTGAGACCGCAGCTGGAGTACTGTATCCAGTATTGGGCCCCCCACTTCTGAAGGGATGTTGAAAAGCTTGAGAGAGTCCAGAGCACAGCCGCTTGTACAGCCTGCCCTCTAGGCCTTGGATCATACAAGGAGAGGCTGAGGGATCTGGGACTCTTCAGTCTGAAAAAGAGAAGGCTCAGGGGGGACTTGGTGGGAGCCTACAATGATCTAAGAGGGGTACATCAGGACCTGGGAGAACAGCTGTTCACCAGAGCTCCGCAAGGGATAACAAGGTCTAACAACCATAAACTCCAGGAAGGCCAATTTAGACTAGACATAAGAAAAAGGTTCTTTACGGTGCGAGTGTCTGAGGTCTGAACAAACTCCCCCCAGAGGTGGTGCAACCACCTACTCTCGACTCTTTCAAAAAACATGTGGATGTATTTCTTGCTGGGGTCACTTGATCCCAGCTGACTTCCTGCCTATGACAAAGGGGCTGGACTTGATGATCTCACAAGGTCCCTTCCAGCCCCTAATGTCTATGAAATCATGATGGCATTTCATCAAAGTAGCTGGGAGTTCTGAGATGCCCATTCTGCAGCAGCAGACAGGAAAATTCAGAAGTAGCTAATATAGTTGGGGGCTTTCAGTGCTTTCAGCTCCTTGTCAGTCTATCAGGCAGATTGCTATAGAGCTGGAAACCTGGAATTCCTAGCAACCTACTAGGCAGACTGTTGCGGAGTCAGATGAGTGAGCTGGCAGAAAACCAGACAGATTGCTGTTGGAACCTTGCCTGGTTTGTTTTGTTTTGTTGCAATTTCTTTTGAATCAAGCTGTTTCTGAGAAAAAAAAAAAGTTTGATTTTGATGATCAGGTTTCTGTAATGGAAAAAAAGTGTGTGCTGTCAGAGAATTTCTGACCAGCACTATCTACCACACTGGGGTTTTTGGCAGGACAGTTTGCAGCACTCCAGGCATCCTGTTGCACCATCATAATCTAATTCACTGTTTGTTTGTTTGTTTGTTTGCTGGCTAAATGGGTATATTTCCTTTCTCAATGTTAACTGGATTTGTTTTGCTTGTGGGACAGAGAGATAGAATTTAAGAGAGTGCTTTCCCATTTCATGGTTGATTCCCAGAGCCATTTTATACAGTAGACAGATGGATTACAGTTGCATTCTGTAATGCAAAATTCAATTTCATAGCTAATCCTGACTTTTATTTGCCTGAGCTGAATTCTTTTCAGCTACATCAACTTAAATCAGAAATAATTCAGTGAAAATCAATTGAGCTAAGCATGCCAAAGGCATGGATAAACAAACTAATTGTAGTAAGTTTAAGGAGTACGAGAACTTACTGTGAAATAACTGATGCACGCCAGTCGTCTGGGTGCCCACTCCCTTACCCTGTGGTAAGTGAAAGCTCAGCTGGGGCAGATTAGCATTCCATGAGGCAGGATGACATTGGTTTAGTTTTCACTTCATTTTACCACGGGGTAAGAGTAGATCCATGGGAGGTTACCACATGTTAGTTTGCCCCACCCTGCCCCCTTTAAACTTACTGTAATTTGCTCATTTGTAATTTGTTCAGATGGAAGGAGAATCAGGCCCCCAGCCTTTCTGCTCATTGCCTGGCTTTGTTTTCCACATTCTTGTTTTTATTTTAAGAGATATTTGGACTCTCGCTTCCGTAGCTATTTCTATATCCCTTCTTATCTTCTTTGGCTCTATTATACTTCAGGTCTGGCTCATTTAGGGTGCTCTTTGATTAGTCTGTCTCAAACTGTTATATAGTGTAATAGTTGCCCTAAGAATTTATGGACCTTATTATTAGCATTAGAAGTGCTTTGTCTCTGTGAGTCTACAAATCCATGCTCATCCAGCCCTGATTTGCACTTAGTTTGTCAGTCCATCATGTGGACTAGGTGCTTATGTATTTTCAAAATAAAACAAAACCCAAATAGTTTAACAGGGAGAGCAAAATGTCTAAGGAGTTCATTCACTTTTTCGTAAGTATTCATTATTTATAATTTGCCTAATATGTTAACTCATTACATAGATTAAAGTGATATGGTCCAGTTGGTGAAAAGCAGCACAGCTCCCTAAGGGTTTGCTCCTGCATTCCCTCTTAAGTGCTTCTTTCTATGATCTTTAATATTTTGTTGCCACAATACTCCCATGAGGGAGGGAGATAACATGGCAATAGGGCTGTGTGAAATTTCTCCGGCTGTTTCAATTCAACACTGTTTTGACTCATTTCAAGCTCAAAACAGCAAAATGGAATTGAAACGAAGGGCTTCAAGACAGCCTCGAAACAAAATGAGGCTAGTCAAAATGTTTCAAAAGTTTTGAAACATTTCAAGTTTTGAAGCCATCAGTGAGGTGGTGGGAGACAGGGGAGAACCAGGGCTGCGCTCCCAGCAGCAGCTGGGAATGCAGCCCTAGCTCTCCCCATCTCCCGCCTTTGGGCTGCAGGAAGCCGATCACAGTGCAGGGGAAGGGAACTGAGCCTGGCTTCAGTTTCCCTCCCAAGCGCTGTGATCGGGTTGGGGAAAAGAACTGAGCCTGATCGTTCAGTTCCCCTCCGCAGCTCTACAATGGGGCTGGGGGTGGGAAGTCAGCCCAGTTAGGCTGAGTTCCCATCCCCAGCACTACAACCAGGCTGAGGATGGGAAACATCGAAACAGCTGTTCTGTTCTGTTCAAAGCTCAAAACTCAAGTTGAAACAGAACAGTGATGTTTCGCACAGCCCTTCACTGCAACGCCATGTGGCAGACCACACAGTTTTCAGGGTGGCCACTGGGTCCATTCTTCTTTCGTACATGGAGAGAATATAACCATATATATTCTGTTACTAAAACACAATTACAGAATTACCGAAGTGACACCAGTAAGGGAGTCATATTGGTCCTTGTGGTTCATTTCTCTTGCTTGTTACTGATTTGTATTGGTCCCAGAACTTCTAGCCGTTGACTCTTTGGCCCACTCACAATCAGTTATTTACTCCATTACCCTGTGGAACAAGTGGTTCATTCTTTCTGCCTGTTGCCCCACTCATTGCCTGCCTTTGGATCACACAAATGGATAAATGCTGCTAACTGAAAATTCTGCTGCTGTGCTGTGAGAGATGAACAATGGAAATTTAAACTGTTAGAAGTGTATGCTGTATCTGTGCCCTGCCGGAAATGCTGGAGGTTACATCCTCTCCAAAATCAGTCCATCCTGCTAGAAGTTTTCCTTCAGCCAGCCCTGGTCATCTTCTTCCTTGACCCCTGTTAGCTTTGGCTGTCTGGCTTGTTTTACACCTTCTGATTCACTAAAATGCTGTTGGGAAAATTATGCAATGGACATGCTGCTCCTTTTTCCAGCTCCTCCTCATCAGATTCTTTCCTCATTTTCTGGGTTAAATTCAAGCCTCACATCTTCACCACTAAGGCCCTACAGAGCTTTGGCCTTGCTTGTATCTTTGTTCTGATCTATTTTCACACTTACCTCAAGACAGCTTTCTTTCTGTCTGAGCCCCCATCTTAATGGTCTTTTCAAGGATATTCTCTGCCCTTGTCTTGGGCTATCCTTTATGCCAGAACCACTTTTGACTTCACAGAGAACCCTCCAGAGTTCTTACTACCTGCATGAAGTGTAGTACTTTAATTCCCCTTATAGGAACAGCAGGCAGGATTCTTCACTGCCTTTATAAAATTGCTGTGCTTTAACCCCGAGCAAAGAATGTATGTAGAGTAGAATACATATAGTATAGATTTAATAGAGACACTAAGATAAAAAATGTGAAAGTTCATTTAATTCTACAGGATGTGAAATTTTTTGTTCCTCTTTTGTTTTCCATTTTGTTAACTCTTTTTTTTAAAGTATCAATCCTGTATCTTACACAGATAATACTGAATACACGATTTGAAGCTGTAAAGTGAAGATTCTAATACTATAGGTTAAGGACACGTGTGAGATTTTGAAAAGTGCCTAAATCAGGAGCAGAAGTGTCACTGACACTCAGTAAGGACTTAACTCCAAAATCACTTACATTATTTTTAAAAATCTTATCCTGTAATATGACCTTTTAAGAGATACATGGGCTTATTTTCCGTGTATCTCTTAAAAGAACTAATTTTTGTATGTGTTCATGTATGTTAAGGGTCAGATTCAAGCTCAGTAAAGAAAAAATAATTCATTCACGTTCTCATCTAAGTAAATAGATATACCATCAGGAACGAATAAGGCTAACACCTTTAAGTGTATCTCCAAAATAATGGAAGGGTCTTGAGATACAGGCAACCTGCTGTTATATAACACCACTCCTTTGTGCAGCAGAAGCTACTTACTTCTCCATCCCTGAGAGAGGTGCAGTGGCTTACTCATAGTGCTTTGGTAGACTATGACATAGAGAGTCTTTCAGGAGATAAAAAAAAGAGTGGGAGGAAGAGGAAATGAAGTGCATTAAATAGCTTTCTTAAATAGATTTCTTTAAAGGCAACATGTATAAAATCTAACATCTATAACAAAGCTGGGTTACATCTGTGATAAAACACACATTGAACTATACCCTTAAATGTGTCAGCCTTATTCTTTACTGTTTGTATATATATTTATTTAGATGAGAACAGGAATTAATCACTTTTCTTTACTGAGCTAGGTACCGACATTCGAAAAGCCTAAGGCAGAATAGATCTAAGTTACATGATGTTCTGTAAGCAGCGCAGTTTAGATTGGTAGTGAACAGAACACACATTTGCCTTGGGGGGTGGGGGAGCAAATCAGACTGGGTTCTGCTATTTTTAAACCAGTCTGTGTGCTAAACTTCTTGTTTTATTATGGGTATAAACCAGTGTTATGTGCTGAACTTCTGTTCTGTTATGGGTATAGACCAGATTCCAATATCTTATACTGGTAAAAGTATAATGTCTGTACCTTGCTGTTAAGACTATGTTGAGGCAGGAAATGTTTTAACTGTACTAGACAAAACTGGGCTAGAGGTTAGTGGTAGTGTGATTTGGTCAATGGGACCTAGGCACTTTTGAAAATACTATCCCCAATCAGTCATTAATATGAAGCAGTACTTGCATTTGACCTTCTATGCAGTTAGAGAGAAAATTGTTAACCTTAACTTAATTGCTCTCTATAAGTAATCAAAACTGTGAGGCTGACAGGTATGTGCATGAATTAATTTGCCTGAGTGTCTCCACAAATTGTTATTAGAAGTAGGAAAACTTTATTTGCCAGATTTTTAGAACTCTGTATACAGTTGCACAAATAGAATTGCACACACATTAGTGCATCATCCTGGCAACTAGGTATGTAAGCCTGGGGCAAATCAAGTGTCCTTTGCCATCAGTAGGAAGGCTCTCTCTGGGCATTGGCTTGGGCCCCTAATTTGTACACCTAATTACCATGCTTGCATGCTCTTTGTATGTGTGTATTAAAAACACATCTATGAATACAGAATGTTATAAAGCTGGGCTTTCATTTTCATGTCCTTTAAAACTGTTTTTAACTCGGTTGTTCTCAGAAGCAAAAGATGCCATAATCAACTGCAATAGTAGATACACCTTAAAAAACATTTCACTTACAGAAGTAGTCATCAAAGAGTTTATACTATGAACAGGAAGTGTGTTTTGGGTTTTTTTGTGGCAAGCCTGAGCTAGTGGTCTGAAAACAGCTAATTCTCAGAAGGGAAGTTCATTGCTGCTTTTAAAACATTTAAGTATAATCTTACTCAAGATCTTGATGTCCCAGTTCTCTGTAAATTGTCTATTGCATTCCTTCAAATTTTAAAGGCTTTTTAACAGACTGTTTGGTCAAGCCCATTTAAATCTATAATTCATAACCCAAGCCCGCTTCTTGCTGAATTTTTGTATTGCTGCATTCCAGTCCCATATGCACAGTACAGGTTTACTGAAAGGCAGTGTTGTACAGTGAGTAGAGCCCCAGTCTGGCAAGCAGCTGACCAGGGCTGTTTTTTTCTCTTCCATTCTCTTGTTATGTGACTTTGATTTAATTTTTATGCCTCCGTTTCTCTACTTGCAAAATGGGGGAAAATAATGCACAGTTGTTTGTGTGTGATGCCTTAACATCTTTTGTTGGAGAAGCACTATATAAATCCTAAGGTTTATTCAAGATTGGCCTTGGTAAAATAATTCAAACTCTCTCTTCCGCTGAATGTCTGTGGTAAATGAATTTCACTAAAAACCAGCTCTACTGCTGACTAAGTAGAAGAGTTTGGGTTTACCATTATAGCTAAGTCACCAGAATGCTAATGTTCTTAGGTGCAGAATAAAGCATTCAGCCCTCTGTTCTACTCGCCACACCTGTTCCACCCACATCATTATCTTGTATAGCATACGGTCTTTAGTAATGATGACATCATGGGACTTCGATTTAAGAACTCGGTGGCTGGTAGGCAAAGTGGCTGTTGATTCTGTTAATGGACCACTGATTCACCAAGGAGCTCTGAATTGTGTAGACAGCCCCCTGATAAAATCAGGGTCTCCATATGAGCAAAATTCCCAGGACTGTTTTGTAATTTGGGGTTTATAAATACCATGTAATGTGGACATCTATACATCCATACTACTGACTTTTTAGATGAGCTGCCCTTCAGTGAAGCATTGAAACAATAAAGATCATAGACATTCACTATGGCTAAATACAGCCACAGAATTTAATATCCTGATAATTTTTTCTACCCCATTTATTTTCTTAATGCTTTTAAAAGAATAAACTACATGGACCTAGGACAACATATGTTTCACTTTGATCATAATGGATGAGTCAAATAGATACTTAGATGGGAAATCTAAAGTTGCTTGTGTAATAGGTGCAGTTGGATGGCATAAAAGGTAACAGTGAACGTATACATGGTCATAGCTGTTCAAAAGAAACAAAATACTGCTGGGAGTAGATATTGACAGGAGTTGTTCAGTTGCACCCAGACAAAATGAAGAGATAACTGGAAATTACCACTATGTTTGCACCAACCTATATAATGTATGCCATACATTTAAAATTACTCAAATGGAAGCTGCTTATTTACACAGTTAGATGAGGCCAAGACATGAATGGCGGGGGCAGAAGGCAAACAAGAACAGAAACATGTTCTTAACCCCTCTGTGCACATGAGTGTTTATTTTTTTCCTTAAATTTTCTAGGTAACGTTTTTGTTGTTTGTTTATTCTCAGATAGATACAATTCCATGGGAAATAAGGACGCTCTCCCTCTCTGTACCTGAAGATGCAGTACAAAAAGCAGAAAACTTATTTGTTAAAGAGGTAAATATCCAATATCTGTACTCCTTGGTTTTAAATAAATCAAGCCATCTTGTTTGTTACATTTATGAGACTGATCATTCTCTCTCTCCTGATTTTATTCCCATTCTGTAAGTAGTACTATATTTTGGTGGTGTGCAGTAAGGTAGGGTTGGCAGCATACCATCTGCAAGTATTAATACTGAATCTAGGAACCTGCTGTTACATCCTGCCTGTCACTGAAACTTCAGTGCCTCAGTACTTCATAGGTTATCTGTTGCTATTATTAGACACAGGTTTTAACATGGACTAGTATTCTGTTTTTGGGGTCTATATTGTAGCTGTATTAACCATTGTCATGTGGGAGGATGTGGAGGGTCTATGCACTATTGGAAGTGTCTAGAAGCTTTTAACCTGTAAAATACAGAGGCAAGTAAATGCTTCATTATACCTAAAGAATCCAGCCAAAGGTGGTATTTGCTGCACTTTTAAAAGAATCTGTGGTGCTTCTAGTACTAATCACCTAACAGAACAGAAAGGAAGCAGGGTTGCATCTTATATGTCTTCACAGGTATCAGTCATTGCCAGTGGTTTTAGCACTCTCCTGCCACTTGCACAGATGGCGGTTGCCTAAATAGCTCTCAGAATTTCCCCACTAGAGCTTTCTGAATTTGTTTCTCTAAAGAAGCTGACATTCCCATTAGAAATACTGATACATAAGACCCAATTTTCAGGGTCTTATGTATCAGAAGTTTTTACTTGCATTTGGAAATTATTATAATCTATACCAGGGATGAGCAATTATTTCAGCTGGAGGGCCGCTTAATGAGTTTTGGTGGGGCATCAACGGCTGCAAAGGTAGCCCTGCCTCTTGATGGGTGTCCCACCCCCTGATCACTATCTTATGATGGGAGGTCCTGCCCCCTAACCCCTGACTTTTGCCACTGGAAGTCTCTCCCCTTGTCCAGGAAGTACTCCATTTGGGAGGGGGGTGGAGTTTACTTGTATATTGTGTGTAGAGGGGGGTGGTTGCAGGAGTATGTGATTGGGGGGGTGGGTATGCGTG